ATTGAAAATCAAGAAGAGACCTCTAAAGTGAGCTTAACTGAGTTGAATAACTATAACAGGACATCGTTGTCCGAAGAAAATTAGGTTACATAATTGCCTTCCAAAATTACCTATAGGTCCTGAAATTGGACAACTTCACCTTCAAGGCTACTACTTTAAGCATTTTTTCTTTTTGTAACCGGTTCGTGAGTAGGTTAAGTAGGCATTTTGTAAAAGCATCATCCGCATAGTTATTATACGACTTAAGAGCTTCTAGTTACCACAGAGTAAACTCAATTCAGCCTCTATCCCGAGAGCCATAGGTTAAAAGGAATTCACCAGAATATCTAGATTTAACTTCGCATTAGCAATAACATAACCGCCAAAGCCCACTTCAAGCGCTAAACAAGGAAAGCGACAAACCTACCCTGTCGACGAAGGATCTCGGGAGCAATGTAGTTTGGCGTTCCAACCAGTGACTGAGCACATCGGCGGTTAGCAAAACTCGCTTTGCGGCGCTCTAAAGTTTTGTCATTGTAATGGCGTCGGCGGCGCGCCAGGCTTCCTGCTCGCTTTTCTTCCTCACTAATCGTTTTTTGTTGCTTCCCAAGAATGTCTTGGGAAGGTGGACCACCACTAGCTCTTGCAGTTCCCAACTGTTTCCCTTGTTCAACGGAATCATGTCCTGCTTCGGCCTGTTTACCGCTGTCACCCCCTCCGTCAGTTATATCTATCAGTTCATCCTTTACACAGCTCTGCTCTCCCTCCCCTTCATGCTGCCCATTATCATCTTCATCGCTCTCCTCGTCAACATAGCCTATGTCCTCCTCGTAGTCCAGTTCCCCCTCATCTTCAATCAAAGTTCCAATGTTTTTGTCTGTCTCCTCAGTGTCAGAGTCGCTGCACAAGCCCGTCGACTCGTCTATAACTTCATCGCATTCTTCCTTACATTCGTCATTGGTATTCAAAGCATTTTCACAAAGGGCATCACCAGAAACATGAGAGGAAGATGAGGATGAAGAAGATATGGACGATGAGGAGGAAGACGACAAAAGAGACTCTCTGCAATGAGATTCCGTGTTTATAGGCAAAGGAGTTGAGCCTTCTGAGCAACTGTTTGTCCAACATACAGGCTTAGGAGTCTCGGGAAAACCAGTCTCAGTCGATGTCGTTGCTTCAGTGAGCTGTCGGGGAGCAATAGGTGACACGGCAGACGTGGTTAAAATTGCAGCTCCATTTTGGCCAGGCGTAGAAGAAATTTGCGTTTTTTTGGCGGGGCTACGAACAGGCGGAATACTGAAATCAAGGTCCCAGTATTTTGAACTATGCGTCCAGCGGAATCCTGTGCATAAACCAAAGTCAGTCAACTTGATATGACCCTCGCGAGTAATAAGGATGTTGTCTGGCTTGATGTCCCTACAAAGGGCAAATGAAAGAAGAAAAAAATTTATAAGGAAATAAAAAGTGAAGGCACAGAAAGTAGCTAGTTAACTAAGCCCATAGGAGCTTTTGAGCGAAAAAAACAAAGTAACACAAATTAGTATTTTACTACCACTGCACAGCTAAGAGTATTTAAATAATACTAGGTTATTTCAGGCGATATGATGACGGATAGTGGAATTTCCCATTAATATGAACAAAACATATCCACAACAATGAAAATAACATTAAAATGAAAAGCTAAAGAGGAATGCTGCTGCAAAAAAGGAATTAACTATGCCGAGCTAAGTAAAAATAACATACAGATATAACAATTGGGAAATGTAATGTGATTTTTCCAGTATAATCTCGGTGTATATTTTTCTTAGGAAGATTGGCTTAAGCCAATTAAACCAATGTAAAAATTAGCGCTAATAATTAAAATATAACGCTAATACTACCTAGAACGATAGTAAAAACAAAGTAAACATTAAGCATATGAATGAGCAAATAAAGAAATTTTCATTCCGTTTTTCCACCATTTATACCCAGCACTTAATTAATTAATGTGAGATTGAGAATGATAGTAATTGATAACTTCCCTAATGGCTGTAATACTATTTAAAATAAAAAACTGTAATTTCCTTGATAACGAAACTTTTTAACAGAATATTTTGAATACCTTGATGCTCATTATACCTGTCGTACTGGCCTATGGCTAAATAGTTTTCATATAGCCTTATTTATAAGCTTTCGAGTCTTGTCATTACAAGGTGTATAAGTCCCAACAAAATAAACTGTCCTTTTTTACCTTTGTTACCGCATAAAAAGCTACAAGTGACCAATAATTTGCCTTCTTTAATAAACGCTTTTCATATATATATATATATGAATGAAGAGAAGAGCATATATATATAAATACACAAAATATACCTGTGAATAAATCCAAGAGAATGGACGCTCTCCAAAGCAAGTGTCAGCTCAGCTGCGTAGAAACGAGCAAGGGGTTCTTCAAAAATACCCTTTTTAATAAGAAGCGACATCATATCGCCACCTAGTTCAGAAAAAAACAGGAAAAAATAGATAGGAGACAAAGATAGAGGGAAAAGAATGAAGCTAGATGCACGAATAAAAGTTAAGACAAATGGAAAATGAAGTGAATGTTCAATGAGGAGGAACGATTATAAATCCGAATAGTAGAACAAAAAATAATAGGAAAAGCACCATAAAACACAAAATTTAGCTTTTGCCTAGGTATGGAATTATCAAAAAGTAAAAATGGATGATAGGAAATCAAGAAAATATCATTGTTTTTGTTCTTAACTTCGTTTTTTATGACCTGGCTGTTAAGTTAAGCTTAGTCGCTACACAGTCAGTAAAGAATAAGTAAAAGTATTAAGAGAATTTTTCTATAATTAATCGATATAATCCTAAAGATAATGAATCAGCATGCATTCTGAGAACCTTCCACAAATTATTTTATAAGTCATAATTCATTATAACAGAAATTCTGATTATAAGTGCTTATCAATTAATTAAAATTATATTTATAATAATATTAATTACAAAGTATCTTCATATAGCAATAAGACGAATGCTAAATGAACAAGATCGTAAAATTAAATTTCCATCGAGGCATGGAAACGTGATAGAGAAAAAGACTGGCATTGAGATTTTATAGCAGCCCAAAACGCTTATTCAGTAGTGTTTAATTGATTAGCGAAGAGCCTTCAAGTAAATTCAAACTTTTGGAAAATTTATTCTACTTAGATGGTAAAGCAAGGCTTTCTGCTTAAATTTCCTGAGAATTGAAGCATGTAAGACGTTTCGCCGGCATCATCAATGAGTCTCGCCAATCTTAGCATCATAGTACAGATAGTGAAAGAGATGTTTCTCAAGTCGTCAAGGCTTGTCTCTTTGACGAGCTGTACTATGGTGCTAAGAATGGCAAAACTCATTGACGATGCCGGCGAAACGTCTGGAAAAGTACCACGTTCATGGTCTGACTTTGGGAATGATCATGCATACAATGGACTCCGGACTAGGTGCGTTCCTCTAAGTCTTCCTACCAATATAACCAAGTTGCGAAAACAGGGTCAAACAACTTCTATAAAAATCGCGCTCTGAAATCAGCTGTCTTGGGGATGAGGCATATGTGAAAAATACAACTTGTTTTTCCTTATTATAATCTTAATGATCTTAACTTTCAACCAGGTAGGTGTTGCAAAATGTAAAAACAGATTACGAATATAAGAGTTGTCTTGAACTGATAAGAAGCTCAGAAATGAATAATACATTCCATTAGCTATATTTTTCCCTAAAAATAACTTGATAAAAATATAAAATAAGATAGAGGTCACCTGCAGACAAAACTGTAAAAAATATATAAACTATTTTTGAAAAGGTGAAACTGAGCAATAATTACACGGCACAAAGACTAAGAATCACTCCTTAGGGAATGCTATTTAAAAGAAAGTAGTAAGACCAACATGATGTGGTCATTGTCTGGCGCTAGATATGATCATGATTACTTTGTAAGAAGACCCCGA